CTTCCCTCCCGGCGCGTCTTTTTCCACATAAGAGGTTCACCGAAGGGGTTCTTTTTCGTGAGGTCCCCCCCCCCCCCCCCCCCATCCCTGTGTCAGCGATGTGTAAATTCTCTCCATAACACTGCTGTATTTCATTTTTTCCAAAACACTTTTAAAAGACCTTTCCGTTGCTATTCACTAGACGTCTGTAGCGTGCGTAGCAGGCGTTTTCGGTTTTGCTCTTATTCCAAATTTCTCGACGACTTAACTCACGGGAAATTACCACAATGAGTACAATCAATGGACTGAATTTTTCCAGGGACACCCAACGACTGTTTTCTGTAAAATATCTGTACGAAGAAGCGAATATTGCCTAGAATGTTTTAGCACTTGAGGAAAGCTAAAAATTTTTAGATAACCTTTCCATTCATGTACATTTTTCGAAGCTCATCTAATTTATTCCCTACCGTTTTCTAAAGTTTAATTTTCACATTTCACTTTCTATTTTGGGCTATTTTTCGTACAAAAAGGAAAACTAAAAAATTTCGGATTCAAAAATGTGATGGAGAGAGGAATCAGAAGATGTCTCACTTTCGTAATACGTCAAATTGCATCTAAAATTTTTGGGAAAATAATACTCAAACCCTTATAATTTTGAGAGGACTCAAATTCCCCTAGGATGACCGAACAGATAAAAATTTTGTAGCGCCGCTTAGAATGTATTTTTACAGATCTAAAAGTACTCTGGATGGCCTAAAAAGTGTTTTCAATGTTTTTAGGAGAAAACTGTCGTTGGGTGCCCCATTGTGCGTCGTTCGTGAGAATAACTCCCGGGGGCCCCGGGGAATAACTAAAGCAATCAATCTGACAAACAGTAATGCTGTTTTTGAAAATTGCTCAAAGTGCACAAGTGATGATATATTAAATTTAATAAGGCTTGTTAGAATTGAGCTTAATTTGTTATTATAGTTTAGCAAGGCTTAGTATAATAATGCACAGCCACCAGTCGCCAATACGACCACATTTTCACGGCTTAACCGTGGTGTATCAACGGGTTCCACTAAAATTTGATCCATTGCTAACTACTGATCGTTCCTGCCACTATAACTTAGTTTATCACTTCATCCTTCTGTTGCACAGGATCACCAGGCAGAGTTTGGTGAGTTGGAAAGGCACAGGCGAATTTGGAAGTAAATGTTCCAGTCTGAAAAGCAATTATTTTTCTGGTGTTACTTAAGCAATAAATATGTATTTTTTAAAAATGATATGCTGAACGGCTACAATTCATTCCATAACCGAGCGGCAGCAATGAAAATGTCTTCAAATTTGTAAAGGCAGCTTTAAGATTGCGCAAGAGAGGTCTTGAATGATTTATACATATCGGTTAGTTCAAGTTGTGCCCATCCCTCACCCCCTGGATAAATGCTCTGGCCTTTGCAAATTTCTCTATCTTGGATACTAAATTCCTGGGGGTAGGGACACTAAAACTACCAAATTGATGAAGGATCCAGGAATATGGCAAATGCCCCACCCGTGGGTTCATTCACAATCAACTTAAAACAAGGCTGACTTAATTTTTTTGCTATTGATAGCTCAAGCTGTCGCTTGATTAATGCAAAATAAAGAAACATATTAAGTTGAGAAAACATGCTTTTTACAAACACTTAAAAATTTACCGAGACCTTGAATGACAAGTCAATCTGTGGCAAATGGCTGGACCTTCGCAAAGAAATCCTCCATGTCTCGGTTTCGAGGCGGTAACCAAGTGCATGTCAAACCCTGGGGGGTACCTCTTGGGTAGGTATAGGTAAATACCTGATTCCCAAGCCACACTATAACTACCAATATCCAACCCCAGGGACTCGGTGTTATTGTGTGGGGGGGGGGGGTATATTAGAGCATAACTGGGCTATTTAACAATTATTCCTCTCGAATGGCCTCTGAGTCAATAGCCCATGAGGCCAAAGGCCGAATGGGCTATTCGGCTCAGAGGGCCATGAGAGAGAGAGGAATAATTGTTTTATTAAAATCTAACTAGTTAGTAAAAAATATCGAGACAAAACAACTTTAGCTAGCAGACCGCGATTCACCCACCATTGTTTGGGTTTTCAAAGCCGGCTCTTTTCGCTACTAGTGGTCTATAACATGTAGCCTAGTGGTAGCTCAACCAATCAGAACGCAGCATTGATAATAGACCGCTGGTTGGATTTTACTAATATCTCAGAGACAACTTACCCCGAAATACTTATTTTTGGACCTCTTGGAAGTTATTCTTTCAGAATATCCTGACAAATCCCATAATTTCAAAAATCCAAAATTTAACCTTAACGCCGTCAAAGCTTCCACTCCATTAACAGCCTTTCATAAGCCGAGGTTTACGGTATGCAGGGTTGATTATTTCATTTCATGCCATTTTCTTTTGCCCCTGATAACAGATTGGACGGAATGCTCCCAATAACGGAGTGAGGGGAAATAATATAACAGAATGTTGTTTTCTCAGGCACAATGCATGTATTTTTTTTTTCAGTTATTCTGGAAATATTTTTGGCGGGGAAATTTTGAGTTGCAATTCATACCCTAACACATTCTAAAGCGGAAAAGTCGGAAGCTATAATTTAAAAATAATTGACCGGAATGTTTTCAGCCTCAAATTGGCCAAAAGATAAGAATATTCAGCCTGGGCCGGAAAAATAACATTCTTATAAAAAGAAAAGAGTAAAGTTAAACCTTTTCTTCTGGGGTTTGAGCCTTCTTCTTGCCAATAGAAGGTATACGAAAGGGCTACCTTTTCGTAGAGTACACGCCCCCCCCCCCCCCCCCCCCCTTTCCCCGCGTTTTTAAATTTTCCCCCAAAAAACCGGTTTTTTTTTTTTTTTCAAAACACTTTTTAAAACACTTTTCTTTTTTTTTTACTC